TGGGCATGGATAACTTCTTATATATTATATAGGCAAAATATTTGTGCCGTGTGAATCAACTTGTGAGTGACGACATTGTGGGGCAGTCATCTCTGTGTACATGTATGAATTGAGACTGTCTCATGATGGGCCTTCAACCTCCTTGTGGCGTCACTTGGGAGGAAGTTGCTCACGGTTTTTTGTTTTGCAACTCCCTCCAAATAGACAAAAACGTGTGTGATGTGTGTTATTTCTCACTGTTCTTAATTATTACCTTGCAACCTTTCCTATCATGCTGATTTGTCTAGTGTCTGGAGGAAGCCACCTTCGTAACAGTCTGTGGAGACACACATTACAGGGTGATGCCTGTGTAACAAACAGTTGCATGCCCCGAACATCATCAGTATGTATAACTCTGTAGAGGCAGTAGACATTGCTACTCACCTCTAGGGTACTTACATTTCACCCCTTCACAGATGCCACTGGCATACGAGTGTCAGTGACAGATTCACGCAATGAAGCGGCTTATATACTCCTTGCACTGTGTTCACTACTACAGTAAAAGCAGGGCTGTAGGGCCTCTGCTAATCAGTATATTGCCCTGTTAACTTGGTTTTCACGCAGTGTTTTTATGAAAATTGCCTTTCTTTAATCAACCAAGTGTATATAGCACTGAACACGTTACTATCGCTCTTTGGCCCATTTTTCTTGTGCGTGGTGACAGAAACCGTGGTAACAGACAGACTTACAAAACCAAATATATACTGTAAGTAACCCTCGCTGCACATACACGACGAGGGTTAATGAGAATCCATGTCTGCTGTGTATGGCTTCTCAAACTTTCCTCGACCTGGTGTAAGGCTCACAGTCTAAGACAGAGACACCCTCCCAATTTACTTGATTGTGTTTACTCCAAACATTCTTAGCTATGGCAGAATTCACATTCTTAGGGGCTTCACACGGTGTTGGGTAGATAGGTGGAGACCAGCCCCACCAATAATAATATTATACGAGAAGTTGCAGTCTCTGCATGGAATGGAGTAGACATCACCTGATCTTTCATTCACAGGCAATATATATATATATTTGTATGACAAAGGTGTTGTCTGGTGGTATTATGCGTTTTGAATAATGTACGAATGTTGACACTCTCGAGGTTTTTCGTTTGCAGACGTATAGGGGATGGAAGTAGATGTCTTGGATGTTGCATCATTCATGGTGGAAACGGACGTGTTGGATCTATGCGTAGCTTGCCAGATAAATTGTTGGGAGTATCCATCCGGGCGGTAAGCATCCTAGAGGTCCGGGCCCAAGCCTATATCACTAGTGCTAGGTGCTAAAATCAGGGAGGTGACAAAAGAATGCAGGTAGTACGCAGTGTCAACGATGACCGGTGTGGGTATTCGGGATGGTCGAGACTAGCAGTACTCCAGCTCTAGGTGCGATGGTCACCGTGCAAGACCGATCAGCGTCGTCAGTGTGACTTACGGAAGCCGTTACGCTGTTTCGTATATTACAGTTGATCCTTTTTTGTTGGTAAAATGCTGTTTAAACCCCTAGGCAATACATTATAATGGGGGTAGGCCTATATGTGTTAATGTAACTCACAAATGCTAAGAGCAATCCCTTTCGGTCACAAAATGTTGCATACTTCTTGAAACGTCAACAAAACTCGCACAATTGTGAAATTTGACCCGGTTGGCGGGCGGCATTGCGGCATTATTTCACCCCCGCATGGTCACTCGGCATTTGGATGTTGCTTTCATCTACTATCTACGCTTTAACCCTTATGGCGCATGCGCAGGTTCCGCGCGCTATCGCGTGCGTGCGGTGACTGTCACGGTCACGCCGCAATCATTTGACTGTCGCGTGAACTCACGTGTTTCACCGCGTGTGCTGCCTTGCCGCATAGCTGCCCCCCTTTCTAAAGTCCGCCAGAGAGACGACGCTTGTCTGGGATGTCTCCTTCAAGTTGCTTTTTCGACAAGAAACGCCCATTTTCGCCGATCGCGATCGTCCGCGTTTGCGCCATGAGGTAAGTGTCTTGGAATTTATTGTTTCGTAGTTGAAAGATGTTATTTTCTTCAGAGAGGGAGTGCTGGATTGATGAATGATAGTGCAGTGAAGTGATAAAAGTAAGTGATGACCGTGGAAGCAATATGAGCGGTAGCGGATGACATGTAGACGGATGATAAACACAGTGGAGCATGTTTACATTCAGAGGTACCTCTGTGGGTTTACTTTCGTGTGGTGGAGCTCAAAACAAGGAGTGATACACATGGGGAGGTTGCATTGTTTACACATGTATGTAGTGGTCTTCCTGCCACGCCCTTTCTTTTTACTACACACCGTGCAGTCCGTCTGTCTTTTCTTCCCAGCGGGTGTGCAGGGAAGGTTGGCGGGGAAGTGGCGCTCAGTAAGCCTTGACTGGGGTGGGAGTGGACGTTGTAGTCGGCCGTGGCTCAAAGGCGCATCTTCGCTTATGTCCACCGACACCTGGAGCAGCATTTCCTTGGACAACTCAATCCTGAATTGCTCGTGGGTGAGTTTTCTAGAGGACTGCGTAGATGTACTGTACAAGATGTACGCATTTACCACAGCCATGTCGAATAAATGGAAATGCTGCCCTTCTCCACCATTTGACCGTGCGATGTGAAAACCCGTAGTAGGACAGAAGTTGGTCTGATTTATCTACCCCTCCCATGAACCTGTTGTACTCCTCCACAACTACAGGCTTCTTGATTTCTTCCTGGCCTCCCTCTACTCGCCGGGTGCGACGAACCTTGGTCGTCATGGCGTCATCGTGGATGGTGGAGAGCATGCACACTGGCCTTTTGTCCATCCATTTCAGTGCCATCATGGTCTCATCAATCAGGGCTGATGTAGTGTCGCCCTTGGCCAGTGTGGCTTTCATTGCTGCGGGGAGTCCACGGCGGTTGACACGGACAGTCCCACACGCTCCAAATCCCAGATCACGTAAGTCACGGAAGAGGGCAGGGCTGGAGTAGTAGTTGTCCGTGAACACGTGATGACCTCTACCCTCCAAACCCTTCAGGAGTTCGAGCACTACAGCGTGGGTGTAGCCATTTCCCCCCAAGTCGAGTGACTCATCCTTTCCTGTATGTTACAATACACAACATAATATATAATATACATAATGAGTAGTAGTAAGTTACCTGTGTACAGCCTCCAGCTGTAGACGTAGCCAGTTGCACTGTCTGCTAAGACGTAGGCTTTGATGCCCCACTTGGTGGGCTTCTGAGGAAGGTACTGGATAAAACACAGCCTTCCCTTGAAGCCCACCATCGCCTCGTCTATGGACAGCTCTCTATGTAGAGTGTAGGCAGCCTTGAAGTTGGCGAGTAGGGGTGATAGTAGTGGTCGGATCTTGTACAAGGGGTCATGACCTGGTTGCCCTCTAGGAATATACTGGCTGTTGTCACTCAGGTGAAGAAATTTCATGATGAGGGAGAAACGGTCTCGACTCAGGACCTGTTTTGGTGGAATTAGTGAAACTATGTAGTCCTCTGTATGGTAGTATAATCATGTATGTTGTGTACAATATGTTTTTTATAGTGGAGTGTGGATTATCACAATGTAGGCTATTTTATGTATTACTTATTATTATTATACATACTTTGCTGCATGCTTCACTGGAGTAAGGCCATGTTGTCACCCAGTGGTCTTCAATTGTTGGCAAATTGACCAGGCCCATTATGATGATGAGGGCGATGAACTTCTGCAGCTCCTCTCTGGTGAATGGCTCTCGTGACCAACCGTGGACTCTCGACCGAGGAGGGAGGTTGTGGGTGGAGATGTACTGCGCTGCATACAAGTTGGTCTGGGTGACAATGTTGTCGAGAATGTCATCTGTCAGAAGCATTCTGAAGAAGTCAAGCGGAGTCGCGTTGTCACAGGAGTAATTGCACCCAGGAGTGAAAGAGTACGCAGGCAGGCCGTTAGCTTCCCCTACTTCACATTCACCTCCAAGCTCCAGTCTTTCACTGTTCTCTGCTTCCCCTTGTTGCTGTTCATCATCACTCTCTCCCTCTCTCCCCTCTACCACTTGACCATCTGGCTCACCAACGTATCCGTCAAAATCGTCATCACTCCAGTCTTCATCATCAATAACTGGACCTGGGATTGCCATACTGTCCAACTCTGCTACAACCTCATCAAGGCTAAAAAGCCTTCCAGCAGAGCCTGAAGCCATTTCTTCTCTCTATGCTCAAGTGACGCTCTAGTTTGCGCATGCAGCAGTTTTGTGGGGGCGTAGCGTGGCCTGGGAGGGTTGGCCCATATGAGATACAGTGGACCAGACCCCCCACTGCCTATAGCTGCTCTTCCGCAACAACGTGCATTAGTTACCTTATGTATGCAGCTAGCTAGCTATCCACCGCCCGTTCCCCACTCACCCCCTGTCGACGCCGGAGTTGGCTGGGCGAGCGCCGCTGCAACCGCTGCCGTAACCTCTTCTCGGATGAGATTGCGAACCGCCGCCTCCGACAGTGGCACTTCTCCGCCGACAGGTGCGGGTGCTGACGAGGGAGGTGGTGAGGCCCGTTCGCGCTCTGTCATGACTAGACGTAGAGAAAACTGAAATGCTGCCAACACAAGCTGCGGATGATGCTGCTCTGCACCAGCTAAGTCTCCGCCAGAGACTGCCTGCCTGTGCTTTAGCGCTAAACCTGCCGGTCTGCGCAGTTGCAAGCATTACATATCTGCTGCTGCGCATGCTCCGGCCTGGCATCCCGGTAAGGGGCGTGACCTTCTCTGCTCTGCGCATGTCAGTTGCCTGCCCAGTACTCCTGCTTCCATACTGGTAAGCCTTTGCCTGCACCTGTTCATATGTCATACATTAACTCTGTCTAATTGTCATTAAACATTATATAATGGAGGTTCAATAGTTGGCTGTCTCGGAGAAGATCAGAGACTGCTTTTCCTTTTGATAATTTTCAGCTGTATTCTTTGAATACTTGTTAAACCATCGATACAGGCAGACCAGCAAATCTTCTCAACACGCGCAAAGCATTCTGGAGATCATCAAAGATAGGACTCCAGAGCGTACGTTAAAAATATCATTTATATCCTTTGTACCAAAGTTTGGATCATTTATGAAAAGATCGACTGCTTATACTACGTAATATCGGAGGTTTTCATATACAGACGGACGCCCTGCAAATCTCCCTTCATCACGAAGTTTTCTGGAATAATAACAACATCCAGTAAAAGCCGAGTTCAAGCCCTCCAACATGCATTAAGAGGAGTCACCTTCATCTATAGTATTTCCGCTTACTCCGCGTAGTATTGCAGCTACCTTGGCGATCTAAGATCGGACGCGTCTATAATATAGCCGCACATACGTACGCATCAAACTGACCCGAATTTATATAGGGCTGTAATACAGTATTAGCACTGTACTGTATTACTTATAGACCTATATTATTCTTATAGACTTATGGACGCTCTGGGCATATGTATGTGCCCGTGGCTGGCTAAGGGTTAACACTTACGCCCATAGCTTCCAAAGCAAGGAGGGAGTCCAAACGCGGGTCTGTTTGATGCGTACAATTATTATTATGTGCGGCTGGACGCGTCCGATCTTAGATCGCCGAGGCAGTTGCAATACTATGCTGAAATACATGAGGCGACTCCTCTTAGTGCAGGTTGTTGGGCTTTGAACTTCGCTTTTACTGGATGTTGTTTTCACTCTATATAGCGTTTTTCATTGCACAAGTTGATGCACAAACTAACTAACTAACTTACAGAAATTGAAAGCAAGAAAACCGCTATGATTGCAGACATCCAGACCCTTTTCCGTCACTGTCGCGGACAGGAGAACCTGCCAAGCTACGACGTAGCTAAATACTGCTAGCCGGTGGCCTATGCCAAGCAAATTCTTGTCAGATGAGGCACAACCAACTAGCAATAATAATTTGCTCTCCCTCTGCCTGACCCCACTCAGTGGGCTGTAATACCATGTCAGCATGACTCCCAATGTGAAATGAGGTACAAAGCTCCAATATGCTAACTGTGGGCAGAGCGTATTCATTATGGCATCGTTGAAGCAATTTGACAGCGTGCCATTATGTTAGAGTGATGTACCAGCAAAATTCCTTTGTCACATGCTTTTTATACAATAGTAATAGCTAGATTAAACAAGTAAATTAAAAATCCTGCGCATTTAAAAAGAGGCATATAGGGATCGTATAAAAAGAAAGGGAGACAAGATAGGGATGGGATACATGAAACATGGGTAATGAACAGATTTTCAGTATGCTGACACCCCCAACCCCATCACATAATCCCTATATTGTTGCCTGGTGTGCTACACTTATAGGGGCTATAGTTAGTTAGCGAGTGAAGAAGTAATTTTAAACAAAAGTGCCTGACGCTATTTGTTGTTGCGATCGTCATGGAATCCATGTAATACACATGCACACCAAGTTTCAGCTCCATGCGTGCTACAGTTAGCGAGGAGTGAAGAAGGCTATTTGTTGTTGTGATCGTCATGGAAACAATGTTACACACAAGCGCTCCAAGTTTCACCTCCATGCGTGCTATAGTTAGCGAGTTTGAGGAGTGATGAAGAAATTTTCAAGAAAAGTACCTGAGGCTATTTGTTGTTGTGGTCGTCATGGAAACGATGTAATACACATGCGCTCCAATTTTCACCTCCATGCGTGCTACAGTTAGCAAGTTTGAGGAGTGAAGGAGTAATTTTAGAGAAAAGTGCCTGAGGCTATTTGTTGTTGTGGTCGTCACGGAAACAATGTTACACACATGCACTCCAAGTTTCACCTCCATGCATGCTATAGATAGCGTGTTTGAGGAGTGAAGAAGTAATTTTAAAGAAAAGTGCCTGAGGCTATTTGTTGTTGTGGTCGTCATGGAAACGATGTAATACTAAGTACGGTAGTACTTGGGATTGACATGGTACCTAGCATTATAGATGTATGGGGCTTCTCCTTCTTCTTCTTCTTCTTCAGATTCAATACCCATAACCCAAAAACGAAACAACATACACTAATGACATTTTGTAAGAATGTAGATGTCCGTCACCCGAAGAGACTGGTCATACTTATTTCTTTGTAAACAACAACAAATAGCCCCAGGCAATACATAATAAATGGGATCACATGTGTCAGTATAACTCACAAACGGTAAGAGCTATGTGAACGAAACTTTGTAGACATAATGTATTCAATTACCAACATCAAAATCACTACAATACATGTTTGTAAACAACAACAACTAGCCTCAGGCACTTTTAAATTTACTTCTTCACTCCTCAAACTTTGCAACGGTAGCACACATAGAGATGAAACTTGGTATGTATGCCTATTATATCATTCCCATGACAATTACATGTTTCCATGACAACCACATTCTGTTTGAAAATGCCTCAGGCAATTTTCTTTAAAATTACTTCTTCACTCCTCAAACTTGCTAATTGTAGCACGCATGGAGGTGAAACTTGGTGTGCATGTGTATTACATCGTTTCCATGACAACCACAACAACAAATAGCCTCAGGCACTTTTATTTACTTCTTCACTCCTCAAACTCGCTAAAGGTACCACGCATGGAGATGAAACTTGGTACGCATGTGTATAACAATATTTCCATGACGACCACAACAACAAATAATAGCCTCAGGCACTTTTCTTTAAAATTTCTTCTTCACTCCAACTTGCTAACAGCAGCACACATGGAGATGAAACATGGTATGCACATCATTTCTATGACGACAACAGCCATTTTTTCTCTATTATTTATTTTTTATAGGGGCTTGCCCCCTTCCCCCTTCCACAGAGATAGTACGTAGTAGTATATTATTATAAAATTGAGTGGAGACAAGTAAATAAAAAAACCTGCGAATTTTAAAAAAGAGGCATATAGGGATTGTATAAAAAGAAAGGGAGACAAGATAGGGATGGATACATAAGCATGGTTATGAACAGATTTGATACGCTGACACCCGACTCCATCACACAATCCCTATATTGTTGCCTAGGTTAAGTATTAAACATTCACCATTACAATACTCGGAACTTAACAATACACTGAGTAACCAACCCCCTTATAGAGTCCAAGTGGAGTTTAAAGGGAATGTGGCAGTATAAATGCTACTTAAAAACAACAGGACACGTGAAAGAATGCTGCTTTTAGTAACCTAGCCCCTATAAGAGTAGACACACACAGGCAACTGATTATGTGATGTGGGTCGGGGTGTTAACTTGCTCAAACTGTTAATTAACCATGCTTCATGTACCCATCCCCTATCTTGTCTCCCTTTCTTTTATAACATCCCTATAGCCTCTTTTTTAAATTGCAGCATTTTTTGTAGCATCATACATGTATGGGACTATGATAGGGAGTTTTGTTCATCTTCTCCTCCTTCTTCAGATTCAACAGCCATAACTCAAAAACGAAATAACATACAATAATGAAATTTTGTACCGAATGGCACACCGAAGAGACTGGTCATACTTATTCGTAACACATTGTGTACTGTACAACAACAACAAATAGCCCCAGGCAATACATTGCAATGGGATCACATGTGTTAGTATAACTCACAAATGGTAGAGCTATGCTTGTAGACATAATGTATTCAATCACCAACATCAAAATCACAACAATACATGTTTGTAAAACACACAATAGCCTCAGGCACTTTTCTTTAATTTACTTGCTGCACTCATCCGCCAAACACTCTCCAATGGTAGCACATAGAGATGAGGATGGTAGGGATGCTGCTCTATTTCCATGACGACCGCAATATTGTTCGAAAAGGCCTCAGGCAATTTTCTTTAAATTACTCTTTACTCCTCAACTTGTTAATTGTAGCACGCAGGAGATGAAACTTGGTGTGCATGTTGATTACACTCGTTTCATACTCAGAGGCACTTTTCTTTACATACTTCTTCCCTCATCAAACGCGCTAACTATAGCACGCATGGAGGTGAAACTTGGTGTCTGCTGTCAGTAATTTGAGTTCGTGTTTTGGCTCGGTACTGGCAAAGCCTTGTGAGATGAATCTCATTCGTTCAGAAACCACACAGTGCTGCACTCACTAGCCTTTACAAACTCGTGGTCCAGAAGATATATGTGGTATGCTGCTGATGAGGGCCAACAAGCCGAAAACAGCTCCAGAGCTCCCCATTTTGCTTTTTCTCTTGCATCACATGGTGTATATAGGGATGTTGTACAAAAGAAAGGAGACAAGATAGGGCGGATATGTGAAGCATCGTTATGAACAGATTTGAGTACGCTGACACCCCCAACCCCACACACAATCCTATATTGTTGCCTAGGTGAGTATTAACATTCACGCATTACAATACTCAGAACGTTACAATACACTACTGAGTAACCAACACACTTATAGAGTCCCGAGTGGAGTTTAATTAAAGGGAATGTGGCAGTATAATGTTATTAAAAACAACAGGGACACGGTGAAACAATGCTTGCTTTTAGTAACCTTTAGCCCCTATAAGAGTAGCACACCAGGCACAATATAGGGATTGTGTGATGGGTTGGGGGTGTCAGCGTACTCAAAATCTGTTCATTAACCAGTGCTTCATGTATCCCCATCCCGATCTTGTCTCCCTTTTAAAATTTGCAGGATTTTAATTTACTTGTACTACGTACTTAGTGATATTTGGTTGAGAAAGGTGTTGTCTGGTGGGTGTTATGCGTTATACGAGCAGACAAGTTGAGGAAGCGTACTAACCGCCAAATTCATTGGCATTGATGTGTACCTCTCTACCCACTTCTCTCTATCAAAACAACACTTGTAAAAATGTACTTCATTAGGTATTCACTGAGCAAAGGCTGCATGGCCCTCCCTCCTTATGCTAGAACCCTGCATATATGCACACTTGCTGCTGAAAGTCATAATTCACACCCTCAGTACTATATCGGACCGACTATGAAATATTTGATTCACAATGCGGTTTGAGTTACACGGTGTGTTGGAGCAAAGGGAGCTGGTGAGCGAGTGAACCTGTTTTGGGAGAGATTCAAATGTGATCGTGATAGGTGGAGGTGGGAGAGAGGAGATGAGACGGCCTGCATGGCAGCGGGAGGGTCACGTATGGGGTGGTATTCGTGTCAGTATTCAAACGTCGATTTGCCAAGCATTTCCGTTTTGCCGCGGCAAATTAAACTGCCCGCGGCAATTGCCCCGGCAAACCTGGGCCGAAAAACCCGGGACATTTGCCCGCGGCAAAGAATAACTAGCTGGCCATGTTCAATCGTGTCAGTATTCTTGTCGTTTTGCCGCGGCAAAAGTGCTCTTGCAAAAGTGTGCATGGCACGTAAAGTGGGCGGAGATAATTGAACGTGACGTCACATCCGGAGTCCCGTTCTGGCTCCAGCAATGTATTGAGAAACTGGTCTATTGCCGCGGCAAATGGCAATTTGCCGAGGCAAGAGCACTTTTGCCGCGGCAAAAGGCCCGGCAACGACAAGAATACTGACACGATTGAACATGGCCCAGCTAGTTATTCTTGCCGCGGCAAATGTCCCGGGTTTTTCGGCCCAGGTTTTGCCGGGGCAATTGCCGCGGCAGTTTAATTTTGCCGCGGCAAAACGGAAATGCCTTGGCAAAATCGACGTTTGAATACTGACACGAATACCACCCCATAGTCACGGTACTTGGTCTGTGTGTCTATCTGTCAGTTTGTTACCACGTTTTCTGCGACTACGTGACACCAACGGGTTTAGCGCTACACTGGCTTCATTTATAAAATGGCAATTTTCGTAAAAGTACTGTGTTCTAAAGTTATGGCGTGAAAACCAAGTCAACAAGCCAATTGCTAATTAGCACAGGAACTAGTCCGCTCGCTCTGTGTATTTTGAAGGCACAAGAAGCCACAACGAACGGGGTGTATTGACTCCCGCATGCGATCTACTCGTGTCAGGCTCTCCACGAAATATATACAAGCGGGAGACCACGAGTAAATGCATACTAATAGCCTAGCCCATCAATTAGAGTTACCGTGCATAGGCAATTCGCCGAGGGTTTGCACTTCAGTGGTTTTCATATCTTCAGGTTCCCGTAGTTCTGAAAATGCTGGTATCGCTCATGGGCCACCACGAATGCTGTAGTGCGAGAATACGTAGCTGCAGAAAGACAGACGGACACATACACACACACAAACTACTGTAACTCTAGCTGTGCATGCGTGCCGAGGGTTAATTATAGGGACGGGCATGTTACCTACTAGTATCACAGAAGATAGCGCTACGATAGGGAGTTTTGTTCGTCTTCAAAACGAAAGGCGAAAGCGAAATATAGCATAATTTCACGGATATGAAATTTTGTAGGAAGATAGATACTGAACTGCGAACAGACTGTGGGTATTAATATTATAATGGACCATAAGCGAGACGTCTTCCGTAAGCCCCCACCGCTCACATGGTAGCATAGGCCAAAAACTGCCCCTCCTGCACCCAGCCTTTGGAGTTACAGAGCAGAAGTGATGAAACTGACAAGTGTACAGGTAAAACTGTAGGATATCCAACTTGTATACTTGCGATGCAATGCAAAAAATGGCCAATAAGAGTTAACGTTTCTACCAAAGGTGGAGGTGCTCAGTGTAATTGCCGCAAATCAGTTGGGCTGCAAGATGGAACCTTGTTCTATAAGTAGAAACTGACACTGAGGCAGTGGATTGTCCTAATCTACTGTTGGGTACGTCAGTACTCAGTGACAGACACAGTGCAGAGAATAGTGCAGTGCAGGTGGACCAGTACCTCTGCAGCAGGCGTATCCTCAACATAGATGCACCTCTCGTCCTTGGAGACCAAGGAGTCATTGCACAGATCGATGAATCCCTCTTCAGACACAAGCCCAAAGTATGTAGCGATCAGCAGTCGTAACATATGGTGCAGCACCATCGTGGAGTCTGTGAACTATATACCTGCATTCTTTAGGCCAGTGCTATTCGCACCTTACTTGACTTGCCACCCGGATGGATCATGATCGGAGCCGGACCTCGTCTATAGGGCTAGGACTGGGGCATCGATTGGTTGAGTCTGTAGATGCCCTAGCCCTAGGCTTAGACGAGGCCCGGCTCCGATCATTATCAATCCCGGCGGCAAGCATCCTAGACGAGGTCCGGCTCCATCATGATCAATCCGGGTGGTAAGCATCCTAGAGGTCCGGGCCCTAGCCTATAGCACTAGTCCTAGGTGCTAAAATCAGGGAGGTGACAAAAGAATGCAGGCAGTACGCAGTCTCAACTATGACCGGTGTGGGTATTCGGGATAGTCGAGACTAGCAGTACTCCAGCTCTAGGTGCGATGGTCACCGTACAAGACAGACCAGCGTCGTCAGTGTGACTTACGGAAGCCATTGCGCTGTCCGTATATTACACAGTTGATCCCTTTCTTGTTGGTAAAATGTTGCAATACATTACAATGGGGGTAGGCCCACATGTGTTAATGTAACTCACAAATGCTAAGAGCAATCCCTTTCGGTCACAAAATGTTACACACTTCTGAAGGAGAGTGCTACGTAGCCCTAGGCAGCCAGTCGTTCCGCCTCTACGGATTCTCACGTGATTTTTCTTATCACAATTACGTCATTATCCGCACCCTGCAAGCGGGAAGGGGCTGTGAGAAGCTGTGTGCCACGCTCCGATGCAGAAAATCTGGAAGTTGAGTCGTGGAGAACTGTGAGAGAAAGGGTTATAATGGTGTTCTTTGTTTTGACTTGAGCAAATTTCCCTACTGTGTGTGCCGTTACCTTTGTTGAAAATGGCCCTCGGTTACAGCTCGCGCTTTTCGGGTACGTAGCTCTCCGCGCTTGCAGTTTGTTAAAGATATATGTTGTGAAGCTACTATTTTAGTACTTTGATGCCAAATATAGAGACTATAAAACGTCTAGAAAAAAGTTTAATACCAATCTTTTGGTATTTTTTTGGTTGGTATGATTTACAATGATGGTTTATATTGTCTCTCCTGTTGGCATCAGTAGTATGAATTGAAGTTTCCGGACCACACCACGTGGAGGTCGGAGAGATTGTGGTTCATTGGCGTGTAGCGTGAGGCGTGTGTGCAGTGAATATGTATGCAAAGGCATGAACACAAAATAGAGTGTCTGTGTGGGGCTGCATGTCGTCGTCCATCGTCGTCATCAGCAGGTATCTAAAAGGATAGAGATAAGATTATATGTGATGATGTTAATAATTATTATAAAGTGAAGATGCTACTGGGGCTTTGTGAATCAAGTAGGAATATGATGTTACGGTGGGGCCAGTCGTCTCGAGTGGCTCGATGGGTGGTCGGTGGAGCCACTCGTTTGAGTGGCCCGTTGGGTGGTCGGTGGGGCCAGTCGTCTGACTGGCCCGTTGGGTGGTCGGTGGAGCCACTCGTCTGACTGGCCCGATGGGTGGTCGGTGGAGCCACTCGACTGACTGGCCCGATGGTCTGATGGAGCTAATTAGGATTAGTGATGGATGTGTTAAGTGGAACTTTGAGATGAAGCTGCTTGTGGCTTCAGGCTGTTGTGTGGGATTAACTTGTGTAGTATTGAGTTTAGGGGAATACAGAAACCCAAAAACTTATCTTTCAATGGAAGGTGTGCTGTGGGTAGAAGGTAAGATGAGGTTGAATCCAGAGATAGCAGTCTGGTGTCTTCTTGTCTCTCCTTCAGACAACGTTGGTATAGATCAATTCAGAGATAGAAGTCCTGTGTCTTCTTCTTGTCTCTCCTTCAGACGACGGTCGTTGGAGAGGGTTGAGAGACGTTGGAAGGTAAATGGTGGAGTAAAAGAAGATCTTGTAATTGGCGGACTCGTGAGCAGGCAACAAATGTGAGGCCTGCGGAGAACTCTCTCTTGCCGATGTCAATGACCACCTTGTCGAGGGTGAGACCCTGAGACTTGTGGATGGTGACTGCCCACGCCAGCTTGAGGGGGAGCTGGAGACGTGAGCAATGACCTCCCGAGGAGGACCAGGAGCGGCGAAGAGGAGTGATGGGTACTGTGCCGTCAGGGAAAGTGGGGCCGGAGTAGCTGTCAAAGCGAACCATGACAGCGATGGGGAGGTCAGGTGGTCCACAGTCCTGTAGCAGATGGCCTGGACAGTTCCCATGGCTCCGTTGACAAGGCCAACATCAACCCAGAGGTTGCTGGTGAGCATCACACGGGCTGACTTGGCCAGGCAGATGACTGCCTCCAGTCCTCCTGCATCGTCAGCTGGGGCCTTGGCTGCATTGGGTCCAGTGTGAACTGCCTTGATGGTGGCAATGGGCTGGCCACTGGCCTGGAGCTGAGCCACGTTGTACTCGACCACAGCTTCAACAGTGGGAGGGAAGTGGAGAAGGGAGAGAGATCCTGGACTCTGGTGGGAGTGCGGGTCATGAGGTGGTTCCAGTCGGCCACTGTGACCTTGGCATCTCTCAGTCGCAGGAGGATGTCTTGGAACCTGACTTGCTCTGGATCCTGGCCTGACTGGCGCATGACTTGGTCTAGGACCACAGCCTGCTGAAATGTATGGTATAGGCATCTCTCACCTGGTCAGAGAGCTCTGAGCGAGAGTCAGTGGTGTAGAGGGGAAGGTGGAGGAAGCTGGCCGAAGTCTCCGAAGAGAAGACAGGAGCGTCCTCCAAAGGCCGCCTGGGAGTGGTGCGGGAAGGCTTGGCGAAGACGTCTGTCCATCTGGCTGAAGGTCTTCCTCCCCACCATGACATCTCATCGATGATCAGGTACAGGGTGATGCCTGTGTAACAAACAGTTGCATGCCCCGAACATCATCAGTATGTATAAACTCTGTAGAGGCAGTAGACATTGCTACTCACCTCTAGGGTACTTACATTTCACCCCTTCACAGATGCCACTGGTATACGAGTGTCAGTGAGAGATTCACGCAATTAAGCGGCTTATATACTCCTTGCACTGTGTTCACTACTGCAGTAAAAGCAGGGCTGTAGGGTCCTTGATGTGGTATGAGCATGCTCATAACCATTTCAGTCAGAAGTACTTTCAAATGTGGTGCCCCATGAAAATTGAAATAGGTCAGACTGTATTCCAATCGTAGTCTGTGTCCAACTTCCTGTGCTCTCCATCACTGACATACTATACTCACTTCAGTTTTTGTTTTAATACCATGTTCTGTGTATTCTCATCTCCCTTTTCTATTTTCATATACTTTCTGAAGTCTCCAAGAAGGGCTACAGTACCTATTGTCTACATTTGGGATCTAAGTTGTTTGGTGAGTGTGTTTAGTGTATCACATCGCAATATACCAACACACACACACACACACACAATTATAATTATAATTATATAGCTCAGTTGGTAGATCACTCTCCTAGACTGCAGAATGTCGTCGGTTCTAATCCCACCTAGGGCAGCTCATTTTTTCCTTTGGAAAAAAGCTGTCCTGCCGGTGTAGTTGAATTGTTTGTTGTGGCTTTGCCTTCTCGTATGTGACTCCTATGCATGCTCTACATGATAGATCTAAGGCCTGCGATAATTCTGCACTTTACCTTTCTATTCACAGTTTGTTGATGTGATGTTTTCACTCTGCAGGTTCCCTCATTTCTAGAGAAGCCTCTACTGTACTGGTGGAGAGGAAAAATCATCGCAGCCGTTCCGAATGTACTGGTGGTGTTCTATCATCATAATGATCCGGTGAGCGGTAGTTTGTTTTGTTATAGTTTTTCGACAGCCTCCAACTAACCATGTGCCATAACAGTTATTTGGGGGTTGCCCCTGTGATGTAGGTTTTAGCCCCTACTGACCTTGCCCTGTTAGCTCATTGGGCTAAGCACTCGTGCCTAGGCTGCAGAGTGTAGTGGCTTTGAATCTCACCCAGGCCAGGGCGGCTCTTTTTTCGGAGTTGTCCTGGTGTTGTTTGCCTTCCTCTGCTGGTAATGTTGTTGACACATGTTCATGGCTACACTAGCACACTGCACACCCACTAAATGTCTTCTAATCTCACACCCACTGAATCCTTTAGCATTGCAACTTGTAGTGTTTAAACCCCCCAAAAAAGTGGGAATGGCTGGTCTGATGAGTCCTCCCACTATAAAATATAAAGGACGACAACCATCTCTGGGATGCATGGTTCCCAGCTTTTTTAACCTGTAGCTATATCACACACTTGTGTGGAAGTATACCCTTCCATTTCAACTGCAGGAGTGATGCCACCACCATGAGTAAGTGTTAGGGTGAGCTGTGGAGGTGTGCAGGGTTGACCCAGTTGTGCCAGACGTGTTAGGGTGAGCTGTAGAGGTGTGCAGGGTTGACCCAGTTGTGCCAGACGTGTTAGGGTGAGCTGTAGAGGTGTGCAGGGTTGACCCAGTTGTGCAATCTCTGAGACGTGTTAGGGTGAGCTGTGGAGGTATGCAGGGTTGACCCAGTTGTGCCAGACGTGTTAGGGTGAGCTGTAGAGGTGTGCAGGGTTGACCAAGTTGTGCCAGATGTGTTAGGATGAGCTGTAGAGGTGTGCAGGGTTGACCCAGTTGTGCAATCTCTGAGACGTGTTAGGGTGAGCTGTAGAGGTGTGCAGGGTTGACCCAGTTGTGCAATCTCTGAGAAGTGTTAGGGTGAGCTGTGGAGGTGTGCAGGGTTGACCCAGTTGTGCAATCTCTGAGACGTGTTATCAGGCATGCAGGGTTGACCCAGTCTTCATCTCCAGTCTTCCTAAAAATCTCATTACCTTGGAATTGTTGGTGTATATAGCTGTTGCGGTAAGAAACTGCTGGTGCACGCTGTACACTTCTCTACACAGGTCTCCCATACTGTACATATACTCTTGGTACTGTGGGCTCACGTATTGCAGGTCTTACATACTATCAGAGCGTCGGTAGATGCTCTATATAGGGATGACATGGGTGAAATCTCACGAGATCCGCGTACAAAATGCCTCAAAACTTGGCGAGAAAGACTCACCATTGCTTGAAAATCACTAGCAATAGTCTACAGGCCAATACCTAGCTATACATACTCCCCAAGACTTCCTACGTGCCCTCAGTTCCCCACGAGAGAATTGCCTCTTACGCGATTTCACGATTTCGTGTCATAATCATCCATCATATATTTTCATCTTCCGGTTCTCTTCGCTATTCGTTACCGAAAATAGTTGAAGTGCTGATTTTTCCATCAAACGTTTCCAGATTCACCAGAGGTGTGCACAGACATCAAGCGATCGTCTCTTTCATGCCGCAAGTGACTACAGTAGATCGTTGAGCTCCTCCACGGTAGTCACTGAACAACGCCATTTTTGCTGCTAACTCAGCATTGCCGAGGAGGGCGTTTCCAATGCGGTGCGCGCGCATTACATAGTCTCGCTCTACAGAGAAAAAGCCAGGATTGCCTGCAGAGGACCTCTCATCTCCAGCGCCTTCTGTAAGTCAGTATACACATTTAAACTGGCTACCTTGCTTTTAACTGTTGATTTGCAGGTGGCAGTCTGCGCCGGGTTACACGAGCCTTACCGGGCGTACAAATTGGCCTTCATTCTTTGTCCCCGGGTAGCTAATAGTAATCTGGTTACTGAAGCCTGCCCATGAAATCGCCACCGTGTGCCACAACATAATTGCGTCCTTGTTGGAGACACTGCGTACACCCTGCTTAAGTGCAGCAGCCCATTAGCTACTGCTTTCATCAGTTATCTCTACAACATACCCATGAACATCAGAGTGACTGAAAATGCAGTGTTGTCATAAGCAGTTAAAAATAGTGGAAACAAGTGGAAAAATCATTTCTTCAAAATGAAAGGGGGATATAGGGATGGCTTGAAGCACCAAAAAGGAACAAACAAGGGGTCATTACACAGCAAAGTTGCACAGAGCTACATGACACCATCCCTATATCTTTGTTGTTATACGGCTCTGCAATAGAGGTTGTCTTGCATGTATATTTAGCTCAAGGGAAAGTTTGCTTATAAACAATAAAACAAAGATATAGGGATGGTGTCATGTACAACTTTGCTGTGTAATGACCTGCTTATGACATGATTTTTCCACTTGTACATATACTCTTGGTACTGTGGGCTCACATATTGCAGGTCTTACATACAGTACATATATATATATATTATATATGATATATACCCTTGGTACTGTGGGCTCACATCTATTGTATACTCTTGGTACTGTTGGCTCACATCTATTGTATACTCTTGGTACCGTGGGCTCACATATTGCAAGTCTTACACACTGTACATATATACCCTTAGTACTGTGGGCTCACATATTGTACATATTATGTAGGTCTCACATACCATACTCGCTTAGCTATAGGACCACGGTTTTTGATTTAATACCATATTTCTGTGTTATTCTTCATATCTCCTCTTCTTTATTTTCTCCACTTTCTTAGGTCTTCCAAGAAGGGCTATTTACCCATTGTCTACCTATTGTCTACATTTGGGATCTGACTTGTTTGGTGAGTGTGCTTTTTGCGTGGATCTTTTTGTGTATGCAACCCACCACGCAGTAGTGCATGTAGAGCCCTACAAGGCCTGCATGACAACCACAGCTTCCAGTTCTGTAGCAGTACAAAGGGCTGTGGCAATTTCTGAACTTGTTCACTGTTTGTTGGTGTGATGGTTCACTCATTTCTTGAGAAACCACTACTGTACTGGTGGAGAGAAAAAGTCATCCCACCCGTTCCGATTGTACTGGTGGTGTTCTATCATCATAATGAACCTGTGAGTGTCGGTTATTTTTTGTTATTGCGTTTCTATTGTTTCTTTCTCTATCAACTCACCTTCACACTGTACACTTCTAATAAGTGCTCACCCAGCCAGTATCGCACATTACCTTCTTTCCTGGTGAATTTTGGTGGCAGTAGGCAATTGCAACATACATACATGTACATATGTGACTTGTATAGGTTCCTATGCATGCTCTACATGATAGATCAACCGCCTGTGATAATTTCTGCACTTTACCTATCTATTCACAGTTGATGTGATGTTTCATATGCCCTCTGCTGTGCTAGTAGTCTTCTTCATCATTGAACAGTGGTTTTTGGTTTACTGCATTTCTATTGTCTCTGGTTCAATCAACTCACCTTCACCATGCTGATGCACACTTTTTCGTTTGTTGGCTGTAGTCAATTGTAACGTACCGGTAAGTGACATGAATTGTTCCCATAGTTTTTATGATATAGATCAAAGACCAATGGCAATTTCTGAACTTTACCTTTCTATTCACAGTTTTTGGATGTGATGTTTCATATACACTCTGCAGGTTCCCTCATTTCTTCTACTGTACTGGTGGAGAGAAAAAATCGTCGCAGCCATTGCGAATGTACACTGGTGGTGTTCTATCATCACAATGATCCGATGAGTCCTCCCACTATAAAATATAAAGGACGACAACCATCTATGGGATGCATTGTTCCCTGCTTTTTTTACCTGTAGCTATATTTATCACAAACTTGTGTGGAAGTATACCCTTCCCTTTCAACTGCAAGAGTGATGCCACCACCATGAGTATTGTCTTTGTCACCCTCTCTGAGAACTGTTTGCAGGGTTGATCCAGATGTGCAATCTCTGAGAGGTGTTTGGGGCTGTGGGCATGCAGGGTTTACCTGGTCTTGTAATCTTTACATTTCACTGTGGAATTGTATATTCTGTAATGCAGGTTCATCAAGTACAAGAGAAGAATTTTCAAAACTGGTTTGGGGGAAACAACATAATTCGTTCCAAACTTAGTAGTGGTGTTCTACTATCAAGAGTGTGAGTGTGGTTGGTTGTCACTGACCTGTAAGTGGGTACCCACTCTTAACAGTGGATTCACACTGCCTGGACAGAACCATACAGTAAACCCTGGGCATGGATAACTTCTTATATATATAGGCAAAATATTTGTGCCGTGTGAATCCACTTGTGAATGAGGACATTGTGGGGCAGTCATCTCTGTGTACATGTATGAATTGTGTCCCATGATGGGCCTTCAACCTCCTCGTGGTGTCACTTGAGGAGGAAGTTGCTCACGGTTTTTTGGTTTGCAACTCCCTGCAAATAGACAAAAACGTGTGTGATGTGTGTTATTTCTCACTGTTTTTAATTACCTTGCAACCTTTCCTATCATGCTGATTTGTCTAGTGTCTGGAGGAAGCCACCTTCGTAACAGTCTGTGGAGACACACATTACAGGGTGATGCCTGTGTAACAAACAGTTGCATGCCCCGAACATCATCAGTATGTATAAACTCTGTAGAGGCAGTAGACATTGCTACTCACCTCTAGGGTACTTACATTTCACCCCTTCACAGATGCCACTGGCATACGAGTGTCAGTGACAGATTCACGCAATGAAGCAGCTTATATACTCCTTGCAATAAACTTTTTAAATAAAAGATTTGGATGGTGAAATTCTATGTCTGAAAGTAATTTTGGAATGTCTGAATGTTAGGTATAAATGCACACTCACTCTCATCACGCCTGTGCAGTAATAGCTCGTTATGCATACTGCAGATGAGTCTTTGCTTGAGAAATTTGCTTGATTTGGAGTATTTTTGTTTGTGCTGTGGGTTCATTCAAAATGTAAAGACATGATGCATCACAGCCATTAACAGGTTAGCACAAAAAAAGAGGGTTTTGGAGGGATAGGCGTATTTTTTGCCTGATTATCAAGCAAAAAGCTGGATTGTTGGTAGGTATGTGTTTTATGCACGAGTTTGTAAACTTTGAACCCTGAGTTAACATTCAAATTTCACTATCTAGCTAAATGAGCACACATTCAGACATAGAAATTCACCATCCAAATGAGTGCACATTCAGACATAGAAATTCACCATCCAAATGAGTGCACATTCAGACATAGAAATTCACCATCCAAATGAGCACACATTCAGACATAGAAATTCACCATCCAAATGAGTGCACATTCAGACATAGAAATTCACCATCCAAATGAGCACACATTCAGACATAGAAATTCACCATCCAAATGAGTGCACATTCAGACATAGAAATTCACCATCCAAATGAGCACACATTCAGACATAGAAATTCACCATCCAAATGAGTGCACATTCAGACATAGAAATTCACCATCCAAATGAGTGCACATTCAGACATAGAAATTCACCATCCCAATGAGTGCACATTCAGACATAGAAATTCACCATCCAAATGAGCACACATTCAGACATAGAAATTCACCATTCAGACATAGAAAAGTGCACATTCAGACAGAAATTCACCATCCAAAATGAGTGCACATTCAGACATAGAAATTCACCAACCAAATGAGTGCACATTCAGACATAGAAATTCACCATCCAAATGAGCACACATTCAGACATAGAAATTCACCATCCAAATGAGTGCACATTCAGACATAGAAATTCACCATCCAAATGAGTGCACATTCAGACATAGAAATTCACCATCCAAATGAGTGCACATTCAGACATAGAAATTCACCATCCAAATGAGTGCACATTCGAAATTCACCATCCAAAATGAGTGCACATTCAGACATAGAAATTCACCAACCAAATGAGTGCACATTCAGACATAGAAATTCACCATCCAAATGAGCACACATTCAGACATAGAAATTCACCATCCAAATGAGTGCACATTCAGACATAGAAATTCACCATCCAAATGAGCACACATTCAGACATAGAAATTCACCATCCAAATGAGTGCACATTCAGCTCCATCTCGCCTCAATCTCTCCTGGAGCCCACTGCAAGGCTCCTCCCCAGTTACTTTCCTGAGAAAAAGCCGGTGGTCGAGCCCCAGCCAAATTGCGAGAAGCCCTTCCACCTGAAACTGCCCGGTCCTGAAGTCCAGCCAAGTAATCGGCACAGAGTGGAGTAGGACATCTCCACAGGCATCGTACGCTGTGACGATAAGTTGGCCCTGGTTTCCAGAGATCCCCACTACAGGGACAAGGGGGTTAATTTTTGGGTGTCTCTTGTGCTGCACACAAGGAAAACACGACTGCATTTCACAAAACCTGGTTCAGGTTTTGCCGGCTAAATGACAGGAGTTTCATCTCTATCGGAGTCTTGCTCCCACGCGAGTCTTCGTCCTCGTCTGTGATGTCAATGTTGATAATGTCCACTTCGCATCTCCAGTCAGGTGCACCATGCCATGTAAGTGGCGACCCCATTCCCAGGAGGGCTCTATGGACAGGCGGCCCGATTACGAGGCTCTCTGGGTACTCTCTGATGTTGACAGCCGTAATATCTTGGCCAGTGAGAGGAAGTAGCAAGGCTCTGATGATGGCCAGAAACTGGTTCCTCTCTTCTGTCATGCTCCACAAATCCCTACAGAGCCTCTTCGCCGTGGTAGTGTCCTGGGCCAGAAATGCAAGACAGTTCACTGCTGCTACGATATGGGGGTCTTTAGATGTGTCCGGCAGCGTCTTAGCGTCTACCCACCATAGGTCTGATAACGGAGCAGACATGTCACTCTTCACATCGAGTGTGGAACGGAGTCCAGTGAATGAACCAATCGCGGGCGAAGAGATCACTCTGACGTAGAACACGTCCAATTCCTTGAGCATTGACAGAAGCGTCTTTGCTTGGTCCAGTGCTGCCAAAGTTTCGGATTTAGTCCGACTACTTCGGATTTTCGGTCTTCTAAGTATGTGTCGGACGGAGTATTAATTTACTCGGATTTTTCACCGGCGTGCGCAGGAGGTGCGCGGGACGTAGTGTCGCGGGGCCAAGGGCAAGGGGGAAGGTTTCTCTGCACCCGCGGAACGTGTGGCCCCGCGAGACTACACGGTGCGGCAGTTGAAGATGCTAAAAGACCTTGTCAGCATGATGTCGGACAGGGCAGAAGCAGGATGAACGTCTGCTGGCACGTCATCTACTGGCTATGAGCGTGAAACGTCCGAGACAGAGAGTGACCCACAACAGCGTCATAGCTACACCCCCGCCGAAGTATATACGCGTGCGTTTTAGTCACATTTCAGGATTTCTCAGGATCTGTTGTTTGTAAAATATCCGGATAATGTTACTTCACATTAGGATATGTCCAACAATATTTTGGCAGCACTGTTGGTCAGTTGGTAAAACTGCCATACTAGTTCCAGTCTATGGCTCCGCGAGCACGAGCGAGGTCCAACTGGCACGGAGAGAGAGCAGATCGGTCTATGGCTCCGCGAGCACGAGCGAGGTCCAGCTGGCAACGGAGAGAGAGCTGATCGGTCTATGGCTCCGCGAGCACGAGCGAGGTCCAGCTGGCACGGAGAGAGAGCAGATCGGTCTATGGCTCCGCGAGCAGGAGCGAGGTCCAGCTGGCACGGAGATAGAGCTGATCGGTCTATGGCTCCGCGAGCACGAGCGAGGTCCAGGGCACTGCTGGCACGGAGAGAGAGCTGATCGGTCTATGGCTCCGGGCACTGCTGGCACGAAGAGAGAGCGAGATTGGTCTATGGCTCCGCGTGCACGGAGAGAGAGGCAAGGTCCAGGGAACCGCGGGCACGGAGAGAGGCGAGGTCGGTCCAAGGCAACCGCGGGCACGGAGAGGATAGAGAGCGAGGTCCAGTAATGATGGACCTGTAATGGGTCCTGTGAAGATCTGCAGCAGATACACATAAGGCTAAAAACCTTTCAGCAGAAAATTATGTATGAAGTATTAGCGCCTAGTATTATAACATTGTTATGGACTACTAATGGCACAATCCTAGGAGGTAGGGGATATGGCCTAGGGCAAAGAGTAAAGCTGTGGTGATGGTATGCACAAAATGGACTTCTAGAATGGGAATGTGATCTAGGTCATGTTGGAAATAGCAATAATGACTGAACTAACACCAACTGAATGAAAAGCACTGAAGTGCAAACCCTCGGCGAACTGCGCATGCGCGGTATATTAGTATGCGTTTACTACTCGCGGTCTCCCGCTAGTATATAGCTCGCAGAGAGTCTGACACGGGCTAGCTACAGTAGTAGATTAGCATGCGAGAGTCGATACACGCCCTTTGTTGTGACTTCTTGTGCCTTCAAAATACACAGAGCAAGCAGACACGATCCTGTATATACTAAATATAAGCGCATGCGCCTTTTCCCCAGCGATAAAAATGGCAGACTACGCATTAGCCGTACAATGGTGGGAGCGCTCTAGCTTTGCAACGGAGGGATTTCAGAGAAAACCGTTCGAAATTTCTGACCTTCATTGCCAGTTCGGTAGGTGGTATCCTTTGTGAGACGAAAGAACACTCGAGAAGTGAGATGAAGACACACAGACACACAGACCCAACCACTGTAACCCTCGCTGCGCATGCGCGCCGAGGGCTAATGAACTGTACACACATACTCGAGTTTATATATTTAGGTCACAATGGGAATGTTCTAGAATGATCTAAGTCATGTTGGCAATGACAGAACTAACATGAGTACACACATATACTACCAGTTTATATTTTGCAGGTCAGAATGTTCTAGAATGCTAAGTCAGACCACTACAAGTCCAATATGTAAATTGTTGGCGTACATGTACCCAGCTAGATACAGTTCCACCATTTTGGCTCCTAGCCCTACCCTAGCATATGCTCCTTGGCAAAATAGAGAGCGAAAAACCACAGTTTACTCAGTTATCTGTTGACTGGTGCATTTGCAGTCACATGGCTGACTCTCACTGGCAGAAACAAATATAAGCTGGCAGAAACAAGTAGCTGGTTGTGCCGGAAGGCTTTTCCCCACAAAAGAGTGAGTATTATGGGGAACATCAAGGTGTGAAGGGGTACACATAATGCGCCATACCACATGAGTTCAGAGTGGTTCGACTCTACGGAACCTTCTCTACATACATCTATACAGGGTTTGCAGGGTGCTTATGCACTTGTTTGGGGTGGTTCAAGAGCCTCTCGAACCTTCTCGAACCACATCATGACAGAGATAGCAGGGCGTGTAGAGTTTATACACACATACATGTACGTACATACATAACATAGACATATGCATTTGTAGGGCTAGGGCTAAAGAAGGACATTCATTTTGTTAAGCTATGAGCATCCTCGTCTTCCACGCATCCGTTAAGTTTTGTTTGTGTACGCCTGCAAAAAGGAAGTACAAGCAATAGTAAGGTGTGAAGGGTGCTTATGTACTAGTTCGGGGTGGTTCAAGTACATCGAACCTCCTCGAACCATCTCGAACCACATCATCGCAGAGATAACAAGGTGTGTAGAGTCTTTTCACATGAGGTCAGAGTGGTTCGACTCTACCGAACCTTCTCTAACTACATCTTCACGAAAGAAGGTGTGCAGGGTGCTCGTACACTAGTTCGGTGTGGTTCAAGCACAACGAACCTCCTCGAACCTTCTCGAACCACATCATCGCAGAGATAGCAAGGTGTGTAGAGTTCTTTCATATGAGTTCGCGGTTGTTCGACAGTACCAAACCTTCTCTAACTACATCTTTACAGGGGAAACAAGGTTTGCAGGGTGCTTATGCACTAGTTCGGGGTGGTTCAAGCGCATCGAACCTCCTCGAACCTTCTCGAACCACATCATGACAGAGATAGCAGGGCGTGTAGAGTTCTTTCATATGAGTTTGGGGTTGTTCGACAGTACCGAACCTTCTCTAACTACATCTTTACAGGGTGTGCAGGGTGCTCGTGCACTTGTTCGGGGTAGTTCAAACACATCAAACCTCCTCGAACCTTCTCGAACCACATCATCACAGAGATAGAAAAGTGTGTAGAGTTCTTTCACATGAGTTCGGGGTGGTTCAACTGTACCGAACCTACATCTTTACAGGGGAAACAAGGTTTGCAGGGTGCTCGTGGATGAACTCTACACACCTTGTTTCCCCTGTATATAAAGATGTAGTTAGAGAAGGTTCAGTACAGTCGGAATCATGTGAAAGAACTCTACACACCTTGCTATCTCTGCAATGATGTGGTTCGAGAAGGTTCGAGGAGGTTCGATGCGCTTGAACCACACCGAACTAGCATAAGCACCCTGCACACCTTGCTTCCTATGTAAAGATGTAGTCAGAGAAGGTTCAGAACAGTCGAACCACCCCGAATTCATGTACACAGACAGACAAACACAGAGACCAAGTACCGTAACCCTCGCTGCGCATGCGCGCAGAGGGTTAACAACCAAAAGTGGTCTTTATAATTAAGGGGACGGGTACGCGTTCCGCCCGTGCACCGTCTGCTCATACGGATTCCAAACGCAATGGTTGCATATTATGCGAATCTTATTCAGCGAACACTAATGTGAATAAGGAACACACCTTCCCTACCCAGAATGGCTAGGTCCGTGCTTCCCATGAATGGAGTTATGTGCAGTTCTTTACGCTGAAGTTCGGTGAAAACAGAGAGTAGGTTGTCCTGGTAGTTTGAAGGAGACCAATTGAAGGTGTAATCCTCGACTTTCCACTGCCCCTTTGGCACAGTGGAGTAGTCTCGTGTTCCATATATTCTCTGTCCAGCTCCAGCTTCGTAGCGGATCTCTAATCCAGGCATACCTGCCGTTTAATTGTGGCACTCTTGTGCGTACTGCTTGTTGCAGCTCGCTAGGTGGACTTCCCATCGCTAGCAGTCATACAAAAAAGGAGCTCGTGAAAGAAATATTGAAATTGAACCAAGGAAGCAGCACGTGCAAAGCAGACAATGGCGCTGTGGTTAAGCAGACAGAATATATATATCACTGTACAGCTTGTATCAGGTACACCAAATAATCTTTCAGGTTCTTTAGAGAGCACTTATTAAAAAGTATTGTTGTCTTGCATCTTGTATTGTCCAGGTTCATTTTGATTCCAATTATTCCGGAGCCTCTTATGACAAGAAGACCATATGCCCGCCACTCTGGGTCATGTGCCATATTGTGGTAGTTGCTGTTCAGGTGGTGTAGGCTGGCGAACAGGTACGTACTCGCTAGGAGTTCACCTAGTTTTGATGGGACTATGACTTGCTCACCAGTTTCTAGTTTCAGTTCTTCAATGCAAAGTACTGACCCGATCTCAAGACTGATAGCTTCAGCCTCTTCACTAATGTGAATAAGGGCCACACCTTCCCTACCCAGAATGGGTAGGTCCGTGCTTCCCATGAATGGAGTTATGTGCAATTCTTTACGCTGAAGTTCGGGGAAAACAGAGAGTAGGTTGTCCTGGTAGTTTGAAGGAGACCAATTGAAGGCATCACATATTTGTAATCCTCGACTTTCCACTGCCCCTTTGACACAGTGGAGTAGTCTCGTGTTCCATATATTCTCTGTCCAGCTCCAGCTTCGTAGCGGATCTCTAATCCAGGCATACCTGCCGTTTAATTGTGGCACTCTTGTGCGTACTGCTTGTTGCAGCTCGCTAGGTGGACTTCCCATCGCTAGCAGTTCTTCATTATCATACAAAAAAGGAGCTATGTCGAGATCCATGGTAGATGGCTGAATGTTCATTTCCTCCTTTGTAAAAACCATGAAGTCCTGCAACTGGGCGAGTGTTACCCGACTGCATACTGTGTAGTGTGGATAGGCAAACACCAAAACATTCGCCGATGAGGACCCAACCCTGCAGAGTTCGCCACTATCCATCGGTTCCAGTTGAAATATGTCCGCGACATTGTCCACCTCTTGTTTTAGCTCGCTGCACACTAGTACTGAAAAAGGGCAGCCTGTGGAAAAACATGATTTGCAACATAACGCTGTTTTCCCATTGGCCAAGACATGTCAAAAAAGTAGGCTTAGATTCCTAGACATCAACAATACTCTGAAGCCCGAAGTGACATCACGTGAGCCCTTGAATGTTAATATATAGTTAATGCTCATACGTGATAAATATGAGCTAATGCTCTTACGTGATAATAGGCTCCCCAATATTGCCCCATCTGCATGGACTCCACGTCTCCCGTACAAGACGCAATGAATAGGTGCTGGAGGAGCAAAATACAATATTATAAGGCAGTTATCTCAAGCTCGTCAGGCCATGGCCAGACCAACATTATGTGGTCCACTGCATAATGCATGGCTGAACTTTTACATGTAGCTGTGTATGGTGACGCTCTACAGTACGGCTCACGCGGAACCTGGATGCCAGTTTCGAGTTCGAGGCCTCGCACTCGTGAGTCGAGGGGCGCGCCCTCGACAATTTGCTCGCGAGCGCCCATGCCCTCGAGCACACGCACTCGAATACCGCGAGTAAGAATTCGCGCTAGAATACGCGCCGCTCGCACTCGACGCGTAGTATACCGGCCAGACGGCGATGTAAACACCGCTTCCCACCTCCCCCGCGATCGCACGGACCTGTCAGGAGTTAGGCAGCCGAGACACGCTGTGCAGTACACAGTAAGGCTATAGGCCAGAGTGAGCAGTGGACGTACTACTGTACGCTGTCACCGGTAGAGCCGGCGCCGATCAGCCGACGGTAGTACGCAAACGGCGAGAGCTATAGTCCCATTCGACGAGAACGGACAAGTCCTCTACTCTCGCTCTGCTCGTCTGTCTACGTGCCTGAACAGGAGTTTATCCATTGACTCTGTTGTTTTATACGTATCTAAAGTAATAATTTTTAAGCAAATACAACTTCTGTTAGCATTGCTCCAGAAAAGGAGGTGTATAAATACAAAGATTGTTGTTGTTCTCTCCAAATGGCTTGTTTTTCCAGTAGATTCTGTGTGTACGGTAAATCATTAACCTCCTTTTTGGACCAAATCATGGCATGAATACGTGTGTACATGGAGAACATTTCCCCCATTCACAATAATTGGTGGTACCCAATCAAGAGCCTATAACACCTAAATACTACATAGTACATGCAAAATCAAACACATACTTTGGGGGATCTCCTGTCGACACAGAGAAAGCCTGAGTTGCTTCAGCGCCATAATTCCACTACTACAGAGAGGGAGAGGGAGAGGGAGAGGGAGAGGGAGAGGGAGAGGGAGCAACTGAGGGAGACTGAGTGCACACCACGCACGAAAAAGAAACTGAGGCGGTCTAGGTATTAACTGAAATTGTCGAGGCTCCTGAATAGGTCGGGGGGGGGACCTCTACCCTCAGAAAAACAGACACCCCCATCCTAACTTAAACCTCATAACATCTCTAACACTTAGGGTTGTGTTCCTTACATGGCTTTTCTACCTTAGTTACTCATGAGAACGTATTACCACTGGCTTGGGTATATCATGTATGTATGTAGGTACCACCTGGCAAAACATAAATAAGCGGTGTCATGTCCAGACCCAAGGAGGGAGTAGCCACACCCTCTCGCAAAAGAGGAGAGGGTCTGGTCTGCCTAGCATCAATAACTTGTACTGAGTAACAGAAAATCAGTTATCTCGCAGAACAGCCAATATAGCACATTCCAGCCTTCCGTGACGTCACGTCTGTATCCGGAAAAATGACAGCTGAAAAGTTTTCTACTGTGCCGTGTTAGTACCGCATGGTCGAAACTGAATCCGCTACTAGCTTTTTAGTGTTACACTACCAGACGATTTCCTTGCTAGGTATTACAAGTAAACTGCGGATTAAAAAAGAGTGCATATGGGATTGTATAAAAAGAAAGAGATAAGATAGGGATTGTGTTGGTGGAAGCACAGAGATGCTAGTCAGGAGTTAGGACTCCCGGAGGTCATTACACACAGCCCTATATCGTCGTATGGTGGGAGTGAAGGATACGAGAAAACAAAATTCGAGTGTTCACACGATCCATGAACGCTGAAATGGTACTAATAGGCACTTATAAGTGATGTAAGGTGGTAAAGTAACAGACTTGAATGGGAAAAATTTGAACTACATGAAGTCTCTGTTTTCTAATTTGGAGGTTTATGGGGTGCCATCTATCTCAAAACTTATACCTCATATACCTACTGTATATATACATACATGCCATGCTCACTTTCAAAATCCAAAATGTTGGGAAAGGGTAACTTGTGAAATAAGTCAAAAAGGTATAAATTGTGCCAAGGACAACGGTAAGCTATAAACTTGGCTTTAACAGGGGAAGATTGGATGAACTGTGCTAATTGCAGAAACCCAAATGGGTTTGGATATTGCTCCCTGAAATTTCCAAAATTCATTCAGAACATACACAATAGATGTGAACCCTCTCTAGTATCTAGAGTGACAAAAGGGGAATTTTCCACTGATTGCTCTTTTAGAAATGCGGCAGATCAATTCCCCATTACAGCATGTGGTTCAGAATGTGTGGAATCGCTAGGTCACTCATTCTTCAGCTCATACAGGGGGCGGATTTTGCATCACAACTGTGTCAAAGCTTGCACAAGTTTGCATAATTTAGTGCTGCATAAGCAAAACTAGTGAGGAAAATTGTGACAAAAGGGGAATTTGCAAAGAATGTAATTTCCACTGTAAACTGTGCATGCGCGGTACCGCTAATTGATGGGCTGGGCCTATTATACTAGTATACGTTTACTCCCGCTAGTAGCTCGCGGAGAGTCTGACACGGGCTAGCTACAGTAGTAGATAGCATGCGGGAGTCGATACACGCCCTTCGTTGTGACGTCTTGTGCCTCCAAGGTACGCAGAGCAAGCACATCTTGTCGAGTGCTAATTTCCATATTGGCTTGTTCACTTGGTTTTCACGCCATAACTTCTGAACGCGGCACTTTTACGAAAATCGGCTATTTTAAAATAAAGCCAGTGTAGCTCTGAACCCGCTGGTGTCGCTATTTTACCTGTTTGTTGCGCGTGGTGGCAGAAATCGTGGTAACAGACGGACAGACAGACCAAGTAATGTAACCCTCGCTGCGCATGTGCGCCGTCGAGGGTTAATAACAGAGTATAGAGTGATGCAGTGAAATGGCACACTTACAGGATATCTCTTTGGGGAGTGAGTGTTTCCTGCAAAGAGAGAGAGGGAGATAGAGAGAGAGACGATAAAAGAGAGAGTGACACAGGTGTGGTGTATAATGCATAAGCCATAGCTACGTTATGGAATACCCTCTGATTGAAACACCTACGGTGGCCGACAAGTGCCATCCTTCCAATTTCCATTTCGTGTTTCCAAATTCACCTCCCATTTTCCATTTTGTACCTCCACTTTCTGTTCGCCATCACGCGCTGCACTCGGTCGGGTGTAAGGCCTAGCTACGGCACATCAGAGAATCGTAGGATAATGGACGCACACCGAAAAAGACATGCGCCGAACCTTATGGTTGCCGGTGCGGCTAGGAATACTGCAGGCCTTATTGCGCCGCTAACCTTCGTCGTCAATATTTTACCGATCAGGGGGGTGGGGTGTGTGGCGAGGCCAGACCCTTACGCGGAGGTCTGGGTAGCGAGACTAGTGTAGCTAGGTCACGTCCAGCGGTGCTGTCGGACATCCGACGTGCTGCATGCAATATAATTATATGAAGCCGGGAAAGGACGACAGTCCGCTCCGCGCTGGTCAAGCTATCTAGAAGGCTGGGAAAACGGAGAATGGAAGCGCAAAATGGAAGCGCAAAATGGAAAAAGGAAATATAATTTGGAAAGTGGAAGTACAAAATGGACAATGGGAGGATAATGGAAACACGAAATGGAAATTGGAAGGATGGCACTTGTACAGTGGCCGATTGGTGCCATGCCGATTTCCATTCCGTTTTCCATTCACACTTCTGTTTTCCATTCCAAATTCCGTTTTTACGTTCCACATTCCGTGTTTATCACCGCGGCCTGTTCCCCATGCGCTAGCAAAGGGAGGACGAGTGAAGTGTCGCTGCTACACACTGGGAGCGAACTGGTACCGCCAAGGAGATCCTAGCCTCCTTCCCATGCCCCGAAAAACGCCTACGATCGTACACAGCCGTCACTCACTGCTAAGGGGGCGTAACCGCGCCCGTCGCGGCTCTGCTGTCGCGGAACACGTCATGATTGCTAAAGCCCGCTCGAGCGCACAGGGTTTAGTATGCTAATTCCCGCCTGCCTTGGTATGCACCTAGATTTCGAGACGCTAGCCACTCTTTTACCCTTAGCTGCCAGCTCGCAGGTTAGAAAACCGGAAATCAAGAACATTTGGAACGCATCGCTGGAAATTGGAAAACGGAATGAATATCGGAATGGCACGTATCGGCCACCGTACACTTGTCGGCCACCGTAAACAGCTATCTCCTATCTCTAACTTCTAAGAAAAAATGTCATGACACTCCGAGTGAGAGAGACAAGGCCTAAGGGATAGGCTGAGTTTAGTAGTATCTGTTATATACAGTACTTTAGTAACTCACAGGCGTCTCTTCAGTTTGATTGAATAGTGTTATCGAACATCCCAGAAACTGTAACTGGCCATGTAAACTGGTTTTACAGGTAGGAAACTGGTATTACCAGTTATGCCGGATCAACTGGAGTGTACGGACCCAGCGCGTAGCGACTTTCCGGCGACTCGCAAATCACTCGCAATCGTGTGCGCCTGTCCAAATAAGGCCACGCCTACTCGATGCCGCGTCAGCAAGCCAAGTAAAAGGGCTGACCGCGAAGGCTCCGCTGTCGACGTTATGCCTTGTGCCCGGATGTGTTTAGCTACCCACAATGTCGCCTGTACTCGCAGTGGCACATGTGGTCAGCGGCTGGTCACTTGGTGGGTGTGTGGTGGTTTCTTCTGACCATAGTGTCTCTCATTAGACCACACACCAAGATTTACCATAGTGTCTCTCATTAGCCTCACCACTATGATCAATCTGTGGGTTTGCAAGAGCAGATAGTGGCATGCAGCAAGTGGGTTTTATTGCCCTTACTGCTATCATTGCCAAGCACTGGGCGGAGCTACTGGTACATGCATCATACTTGGCAACCGTCCCACATTCCGCGGGACTGTCCCGCAAAAATCAGTGGCGTCCCGCTGTCCCGCAGCAGAGCCCGCGTCCGACGAACGCTCCGCGCTATGGAATACCGCGCGGAGCGTTCGGGACGCCGCCGCGCATATGCGCAGGGAGTTTATAGCTCGCTGCGCATGCGTACGAAGTAGAGACTTGACCTTTGTAGTTTATGCCATTATAGAGCGATAATGTTAGGGAAACTGGGGAGTCTAATGAGTGATTCAGTGATTGCAAGTGCCAAATCAGCAACACAAAGAAGCTGCAAAACAGTCATAATTTTGTGTGTGCATATGAAATAATTGATATAGTGTTTCTGTCCAGTAATTTTCCTGCATTTCTGAACAAAGTGTCCAGTAACATAAATTTACATGGTTGGCAAGTATGCATGCTCCACACACCCAAACTTACCCATGCCCCCTAGTTCCCAGGTTACTTCTGAGACTGGGACTGATTACTGCTAAAGATTGTTGGTTGTGGTAACTCTGAGCAACAAAGCTGTATTTATAATATTTAGCTATACTGGTATTTTGGTATTTTTCCAGTTTTTCAATTATTGAAATCACTTTCAGGGCATGCAACCGAAAACCTGAGCACTGTTTGTGTTGCTTACAGACATGTTGTCGTTCAGTATCTATGCTAATCTTATCCCTGAAACAAGTCGTAAATATGAGAGCTACTTAGCAATTGCTTCTGTGTTGATAGTGGTGATCATTGAAATGTCAATTAACAATTTTAAGGGAATGTTCATTGTTTACAAACAAATACACAGTTTATGACAAAAGGGACCATTTCAACTTCGACATTGTTAAATTTCCACTTTTAAGCTCTAACGTTCCCTGTAAACCAGCATTATGGTGTGTATACTTCCCAGCTCGTACTGTATAGGTAGAAGTTATGACCAATTTCCTGAACGAAATTACAAGTTCGTAAACTGATCAGTCAGTATACACAAACACATAGAGGATGGGATATGCCTGCCAGCCAGTGATGGTTTCCTGGGTTGCTATGTAAAACTGTTGTGGGAGTTGTTTCTCAGACATTTTTTCCTAATCAAGTAGCTACTCTTACATGTACAAAATACTTTTTGTTCGTTTTTGTCTTTTTTTAGAGGCTGTTACAGGTTTATATTTATCATACAAAACTTTTCCAATTAATCTGGAGGCTGTAATATAGTGTTTAATATTCTTGATGCATGTACGTCACTGGTTTGGATGGTGAAATTCTATGTCTGAATGTGCACTCATTTGGATGGTGAATTTCTATGTCTGAATGTGCACTCATTTGGATGGTGAAATTCTATGTCTGAATGTGCACTCATTTGGATGGTGAAATTCTATGTCTGAATGTGCACTCATTTGGATGGTGAATTTCTATGTCTGAATGTGCACTCATTTGGATGGTGAATTTCTATGTCTGAATGTGCACTCATTTGGATGGTGAATTTCTATGTCTGAATGTGCACTCAT